TTCGAGTTTGTGCAGTCCTTGCAAGATATCAATTAGGAATAAACGGTACTTACATTACGCAGTGTCGGTCGATTCTCATTGATGATGGCTAAAAGTGATGAAGAACAATGAATAATTATCATCTTCTCCAGATTACCCAACGCGGACGTGGAGAGAAATTTCAACTGAAAACAAACGATGAATGAATTGAATTCGTTTTCGGGACGTACCGATAGATCAATGCTCGAATCTGTCAAATTCAAAAGTGCTGATGAAATCGCCGTTCATTAACATCGCAAACGTTCAGTTGAAAATGAAGAATCAATTGCAAAACTGCTTTTTGTTCATCTCAGAATCAGTAAAAAATTCAGCTGACTGGATTCAGTGTTGATGGAGCGAGCAATGCGTCAAGAACACAAATCCAACGTTCACGTGCACACTTCTCATCGATAGTTTTCATTATTGATTCAACTTCTGCATTCCTGAAACAACTCCTTCGAAGGATCTCTCGTTTGAAAACGACTGCAATGTTCCAATAAAAGCATCGTATCAGTTCCGTCCACCTATCATATTGACGTTCATAGCAATCATTCAGCTAAAGAATGCTGCTCGATGATCAATTGCATAGATTAGATTTCTTTTTTTTTTCTCACCGTTCTTAAATGACTGAAATAAAAGGACTTAACAATAGCAAACAATTGGCTGCAAAAAATGCGATAAACGGATAAATTTCCGANTGTTTGAAGGAAGGAATATGGATTTGTAAAGAAATATTGCAAATTGAATAGGAAAATATGATAGGGATTGTGATAAGGATAGTACACAATTCTTCGCATAATGAGCGCATAGATCGGTAATTTTGCATCGCTGATCGTGTAGAAATACGGCAAAGTCGGGTCATTTGCATCGGTCGCGGTCGGTAGCGATGGAACTTCTTCGGGGAGTGATTGCAACAATGCATCGATTCGAGAACACAAATTCGAATGCGCTGAACTTCCCTGAAATAAGCGATTGAATCCATGAACGTTGCTGTCTGTATATTTTTGGTAGTATATGTCGAAGCCCGTCGGGTGATCCAAATATTTTTGAATGAAGAAATGCTACTAGTTTCATCGAGCACTACCCTCACTACCATCTGCATTCATCAATTTTTTCATGGTGCTGTAAATGAAGAATACTGATGAAACTGATCATCAAATACCTTCAAATGCCGAATTATTTCGGCGCGATCAAGAGAAAACAAGTAGTGTACTGTGTTCAGAAGTGGCACGTTCATTGACGAGACGATCCCAGCTGACTCCAGCCACGAAACGGCGCTATCGTTGAGTGCAACAGACGAAAGGAAACTAAAGTGAAGAAGAGCATAAAGATTCGATGTAAGTTAATCGAAGTGATTTACTCAGATATCTCATCGTTTCAATCGATCACAGTTTTCAACTCCACACTCCCGCAAAACCGTAGGCATCACACACAGACTAATGTTATATTCTCGTAAAAGCTCTTGCAGCCATAGAACTGAGACATACGCCATACAGGGACGTTTGATTGAACACCTGCACCATAAGGTGGAATTTGCATTTCGCTAATGTCAGCTTTCAAATGAGGTGATTATTAACTGAACGGAGTCTTTCAAATGAGGTGATTAAGCTTACCTGTTCACAGCAGCGACTCGGTTCTGAATAAGTTCAT